CACTAGCAGTAGCAAAAACAAAATATCGAAGGACACACACTGTAGGAACCAAGAACAGATCGGTCCGTTTGGATTCGATTGGGATCAAATCCAATTGGATATATTCCAATTCTATCTAATCCAATCGAATCCACTAACTACTAGCACATGCCTAAGAAAATAAACCCCTAATCTACATCTACGAGCAAGCATTGAGGGGATTGACTCACCGGAGCTTGCGCAGCCGCGCGAACCGAGGCCGGGGTGAAAACCCCAGCGAGAAGGAGAGAGGTGGCAGAGCAGAGGAGGAGCCGGCCCTACTGACGGCCTGCGGCATCGGCCCTGTGCTCATTGCCACGGCGGAGGTCGAGGAGGACGGCCCGCCGACACCAGAAAACCATTGGACGGGGGTCAAGAAAACCCCATGCCCGATGGGGTCCCAAGAAGCGGCGGCTCCATGCACGGCGCCGGCGCCGAGCCCAGGACCACGAGGTCCGGAATCGGCGGCGGAGCAGGAACGGCCGACACCGCATTGGTCGGCGCTCGTGGTGGCCGGCAGCTGATGGGGTACGGCGCTGGTAGCACCGACGCCAGGTCCCGCCCCGAGTTCTGAAGCCCGGCCAGCCAGCACTCCTGGATGCTGGCGGTGCGCTGGTCGACGGGGGTCAGAGGGCGGCATGGCGGTGGGCGAGGCGGAGCCATCGGCGGAGAGGGAGGGACGGTGAGGGAGAGAGGGAGTGGTGGGAACAGTTCGCCCGGGGCGGTGACAGGAGTGTGGGGACAGTTATGAGGCGTCCCGTCCGTCTCCCGCACTGCCCGAGGCGTCCAACCCCCTCGCACGCGTGGCCGCGCCGAGCCAGGCTCACGAGAAACTGCCGATTCGGCAGTTTCCGCCGGGCAGGCTGCGGCCTACTTTAAGTTTCGTGCGGGCCGCAAACCGCATGCAGCCCAGGCAATCAAACAGGCCGCGCACATCCCGCGTGGGCCTGGTTGGGCTGCATGCGGGCAACTGAACACGCCCTTGTGTATTCAGCTGATCTGTGGTTGCTTTGTTCTGTGCTCTCTTTGGTTTACTCAAACGGACTGCACCCCGACTCCTTGTGCTGAAACCCTTCAGAGGCAATTGGCTACTAGGTTTGGAGGTGCTAGTTTTCGTCGGCTGGGACTATTGACCACGCTAGCTAGATAAACATGCTGAACATGAAAGGCTTAGTGTTTGTTTTCCTACCTATAACAGCACACGCGGTAAGAACAGAGGGAATCAAACGTATGGCTATCTTGACTGAAGCTTTTTCTACTAAACGCATGCATAGATCATTCTAAGCACAGTCCAATCAAAGTCAAACCACATAAACCGGTATAATTAGGATGCATTTATGCCGCAAAAAATCCCTTTCTCGTACTTGATGTGTAGGAATTCTAAAAGGAGTTCGATTATTGGACTGTCAAATTTGTACTTCTCTTTTGAAAGCGGGATGAAAGGAAATTTTCCTAAACCTTCAACTTGTTCTGTTCCTTTGAATGAAAATGAAGAATAGTGGTAATGGGGGCTGCAATCGAGTGGGCGTGTCTTGATATTCTCGCATGTATTCACATATTGTCTCTTACTACAGTTCAGCAACCATGCTAGCTGCAGCTATGGTGTGATAGCCTCATAGCCCCAAGATGAAAGAATATACGCGGCCTTTTTTCTAGAATTCTCACCACTTGCGTTTTAAGACTCTTTGATATTTAATTAAATATAAAAGCCTTCTAAGCATTATTAAAGCCTTTAATTGTTAATTTAACATCTCCAGAAATATTTTTGATATATATATTATTTATCGGTAATACCCGGTAAACCCCAAAACGCTTATGGTTCCTCTTGAAACTATTTCAAATATTAAAAAAAATTCTTTGAAAAGGGGCATTTCAAATATTAATGAAACTATTTCATAACTATTTCCTCATTACTCCTGCCATACTAACAATCAGCAGATGATTACCTTAAACTTGTGACCATGTAGGTTCGAAAAAACATAGACATGAACAAAACCATTTCATTCAATGAACGACAACGGAACAATGGACATATCGATCCCTATGCGTACACGAATGACACTAGAGTGAACCTTTGGTTATCATGTGCTATTCTTTTTCCTTCGCGATAGTTTACAAAACCCGAGGTGAGATGTATAGGTATACTCTTGAGTCATTCTCATGCTCACTATACCAGATTTCTTCTTCTTCCTCGTTGACATGTTTCGGCATCTCCGTCACCTAGTCACCTGTGTCTGGCCAGATGATGATGGATGCCGTCACACCGAGAGAGTCCTGAGAATATCTCTCCATCGTCGGAGGAGTAAATCCCACTCTTAAGCTATCTAGTCCCTTGTCAAACTTTCTAATGAACCTGTAAGTTGTCATTATGATCATCGTGTTACAGATGACGTTTGAGCAACCCCAAAATCCATCACGGGAAGAAGTGACTAGGATACTCTCATGGTCTAAGGAACTAAAGCATATATTAACTCTTCGTATTATAACAATTGACTTGTGACTATAGTATCTCAAAGTATAACAATCAAGTTTTGGTCAATTCAATATAATCGTTCTTCTAACGTCATATTCTCATTGTTGTTTTGAGACTATTGTTACACTTAACGATATCTTAAGATCCAGAAAACATGATCATTAACAACACTTAAGCTAGTCTTAGAGGCGAGACTAGAAATCAGATTTTTACCGTTTATCATTCCACACGTGCATATGAGTTTTTCACTTAATTGCATATTACAGGGTCATAACAGTTAGCATATTACATGATCATAACAGTGAGCATTACTCGTAGTTAATGCGTTGACATGCTTCTATTATTCTGATAGAATCATAACAATGTTTTTGTGACATCACAGGACGTATTGGCACAATAGATAACACTCATGTGACGGCTAGAGTGCCGAGGTCACAGGCTGTAGCATACAACGGTATAAAGCACTACACAAGCTAGAATATTTTTTTCTACCGTTGATTTTGATCCGAAGTTCACATATGTGTTAGCTAGCTAGGAATGATCATCTCACGATGCTAACATTTGCTGACAAGATGGCTCGAACTGATGGCATCAGTATACCTGATGGTAAGTTCTACCTAGGAGATTCTAGATATGCATGCCGACCTTGTGTTTTTTCACACTTCAGTAAAACTAGTTACCATCTAAACGATTTCTCTTCTAGAAACTATCCTAGGACTTCACATGAATTGTTCAATCTCAAACACTCTAGCCTTAGAGTTGCAGTTGAGAGGGCATTTGGAGCTCCGAAGAACAGATTTAAGATCCTGGATCATAAGTCATCCCCTCTTTCCTCACCTAGGTTAGGCTTGTTCTTGCATGTTGCATTCTCCATAACTAAATCCTAGAATAGAATTGTAAAGAGCTTGTGTCGTACGAGGAGGATGTGATGGCCGATGATGTTGATACATTTTTTTTACCTATAACATGAGAAGATGGCGCCTTTTCCAGTGAGCTGACCGACTCATTGAAATGCAAAATTTGCAACATCGCCAACCTCATTATCTTAAAAATTATTTCATATGTGTTGAACCCAACACATTGTAGATTTTAGTACTTTTTTTGCCCCTCGATAACTGGATATATATGAATCTATTTATAAAATTAATGGAATTGTGAGATGAATGTCCTTGTGCATTGTGACAATGTTGTGAATGTGTAATTTGAATGTTGATGAAATAAAAAAAACGTTGATAAACAGTAAAATCGCAATAAAATTTGAAAATGCTAACATGCGGTTTGATATTGTAAACTGCCTGTAACGATACAACATTTGAGGCGGTTTCAAATAAATAGCCACCTCTGGGCATCTCTGCATTGCAAGCGGTTTGTCAACGTAAACCGCTTGCGACGGGTAATGAGCACAAATGGTTCTATATCCAATATTAGTGACACGGGTTTTGAGGCAGAATGAGAAACCGTCGTCGGCCCATGTGCGAAAACTGCTGCCAAATGCCCTTTATGTACTACCGAGACAACATCGAGAAAAGATTGACGATCACGCTAAGCATATCGGTGTGGGAGGGAGGGCGGGTCTAGATAGGCAGTCATGCTAGCATCACCAAACCATGTCGATGACTTTGCTTGCGAGTCTCAAAGAAAGTGGTTACCAAAGAAGACGATGTTGCCGTCACCGATGCACATGGAACAACGTCGACAGACGGCACATATAACCAATCTGTTGCCCATGAAGAACAGCGGGGTCAAAAATTACGGGCTCCTCAACAACGTTGCACAAAGCGTCACCGAGACAGGATTATAGTCGGAGGACTTGCTTAATTTCCTGTCAAACTCAGCATTGCCTGATACGTAGTACGTCCCGGTGAATAATCGACGTTCTGGTCAGTGGTCACCGACACGAGAATAGCTCACACGGAGGCGGGAGGCCATTGCATAGTACTCTACTCGTACGTGCGTCACTCACTTATAAAGCGTACATGCATTTACATGCACGGGGACCGGGCGGCATGTACGTACTCAGTCTAGTCAGGATTTTGGCTCCGCTACATTTATCTCTGAATTGACACATCTGCGCGTACGTACCTACGTGGTAAGTTGTGACCACGAAACAGTGATTTCCAAGGTTAAAACCTCGAACCGTTTCGCTCCCGGTCGAATCTCGAATCGCTGCGTGCAATGCAACTAGCGCGACCCGAATCATGGTCTGGTCGTGAACTGGAGGGACGGACGCCGCAATAAATCCTCCTGACCTGAGTGCAATGGCTCCAGTGTCGCCTCGCCAAGTTGCCAGTCGCCTCGGCCGTATCGATCGAGCGTGGAAATACTAGCTCATCACACTGTGCGTGCAGCCGCTACGGCGACCAAGTAGTCGAGGTCGAGCTCGGGTTCGTTAGTTGGCCTGCTCTGCTCTGAACCTCTATAAAAACCCCATTCGCGCGGCACACAAGCACGCACCCAGCACGCCACTGAAGCCAGTTTAGCCGCCCCGGACACCCACGACGGCATCGGCATGGCCATGGACATGGCGCACAAGGACCACCTCCTGGCGGCCTACCACGGCCTCCTCGCCGCCGCGTGCCTCCTCCTCTGCGTGCTCGCCGAGGCCCTCGTCTTCGCGCTGCGGCGGAGCTTCACGTTCTACCTCGTCCCTGTCTCCGCAATGCTGCTCCTCGGCCGCTACCGCCGCCGCGCCGCGGGGGGCGCGGGCGTCCGCGTCGGGCTCGTCGACTTCTCCTGCCTCAAGCCTCCGCGCCGGCTGCGGCTCCCCGTGGCCGGCCTGCTGGAGCACCTGGAGCTCGGCGGCTTCTTCGACCGCGGCAGCATCGAGTTCATGACCAAGGCCATCCGCTCCAGCGGCATGGGCTACGAGACCTACCTCCCGCCCGCGCTGCACTACCTCCCGCCGGCGTCCACGCACGCGCACGCCATCCGGGAGGCGCACATGCTCTTCTTCCCTGCCCTCGACGACCTCTTTGGAAAGTCCAGCGTGCCGCCGTCCGCCGTCGGCGCGCTCGTCGTCAACTGCAGCGGCTTCTGCCCCGCGCCATCGCTCGCCGCCATCATCGCCAACCGCTACCGGATGCGCGCGGACGTCAAGCTCTTCAACCTGTCAGGCATGGGCTGCAGCGCCGGCTCCATCGGCGTCGACGTCGCGGCCGGCCTCCTGCGGGCGCACGCCTTGTCGTACGCCGTGGTGGTCAGCGCCGAGATCCTCACAATCGGGTGGTACTGCGGCAAGGACCACGGCAAGCTCCTCCTCAACTGCAACTTCCGCACCGGCTGCTCCGCCGCGCTCCTGACCAACAGCACGGCCGTGCCGGTGAAGTACCGGCTCGTCAACGTGACGCGCACGAACACCACGGCCAACGACCGGAGCTACCGCGCGGGGTACCGGGAGGAGGACGAGGAGGGCATCACCGGCTTCACGCTCGGCCAGGGCGTCGGCCGCATGGTCAGCGAGCTGCTCCGCGCGCACCTCCTCACGCTCAGCCTCTCCATCCTGCCGTGGCGCGAGAAGGCACGCTTCGCTGCCGCGCTGCTCCTGTCGATGCGGCGGCGACGGCAAGACAAGCTCGCCGGCAGCAGCTCCGGCGCCTCCGCGCCAATGCCGGACTTCCGCGCGGCGGCGGACCACTTCTGCCTGCCTTCCTCGGGCAAGCCGATGATACTGCGGCTGGGGAAGGGGCTCGGGCTGGGGGAGAGGGAGATGGAGGCGGCGCTGATGACGTTCCACCGGTTCGGGAACCAGTCGGCGGCGTCGCTGTGGTACCAGCTGGCGTACCTGGAGGCCAAGGGGCGGGTCCGGAAGGGCGACACGGTGTGGCACCTCGGCATCGGGAGCGGGCTCAAGGCCAACAGCCTCGTGTGGGAGCGCGTCGCCGTCGCCGACGACCTCGCCGCCGGCGGGCTCGACGCGCTGGGGCCGTGGATGGAGTGCATCCACCAGTACCCCGTGTGGGAATAAATGCAGGAGCAGGAGACCCAAGCATGAAGCATGCATGCTAGCTTCCTCCTGTGTAGGTAGTTGGGACGTATTCGTGCGTGCGTGCTGGCTGCTGCCATGTTCGACCATTCCACGAGCTTGGATGTTTTTGCTTCCACCGTTACTCCCAACCTAGTTCATGTAGTACTATTTGTGAAGTTCCAATATTTCCTTCCATGAACGAACCCTATTTCCTATTATCGATCGATGGGTTGGTGCCATCTGTCTGCACGAGTCAATGCCATATGGTCAGCAACATGGTCCTGCTAGATACGTGGAGCACCCACATTTGTGGGGGAAATGACCTGACAAATGCCGTTAGGTTTCAAATAAGTGTGCCTGTGGAACGCTTCTCCGGCATCTACTCCTAGTAAATGAGGCGGTACCATGTCCATACATAGAGTGCATATCCAGTGATACCAACACTAGTATGATACGGTGATACAAGAAGATGTGGTCCGTTTGATCTGTGCCCTAGGGACAGGATTGAACATCCACACAATCCACTGCTAAATATACGAGGGAGACCTTGAAACTTTTGTAAATTGCTGGTTTGCAACTTAGCCTTACGTCATGTCACTATCGCCTCTCTTTTTTGTGGGACGGTCATTTCAGTTTCATTCACATGGATGAAGTAAAAAAGCTAGATCACACTAGAAATACATCATCCGATTCCAAAAGAAATAAACCTATATGTAGCTTTCGGGAGAAGTGAGCAACGCAACGAAAAAGAGATTACTCTGCTTGTAATTATTGAGTAAGCTCATCATTTTTTTTATTTTTTGAGGATCCTTCAGTAGCTCATGTTGGAACGATCAGTTTGTGTCCAGTCTTTGCTGCTGGGGCCCAATTTTTTTTTTCAAATGTCAAACGAATTGAGACAAAAAAAAATTTTGTGATCTTTGTCCCATACAAATGCCACGTGCAAATTTTTACAGATAAGCATTTTCGCCTGCACAAAAAAAAATCGAAGACCAAATGTCACCGTAATTTTGTGTTTTTTTCACCAACGAAACACCGCTGCTCCGTTCCTCGTGAAAATTCTCAAGGATGCTTGCGACACCAACAAGATCATCTACAAAGTTTTTCAGAATTGTTCAAAAAATTAAAAAAGGTATTGCTCACCCGGGAGCCAAAACGCCACCGCCCCCTTACTTATCTCGTTATTTAAGAACAAATATAATTACTACATGCATGTGCTGATTAACCCATACATCCTGATCTAACAATATACGATTACTTTTCCGCTAACTGTATGAGCAACAGTGTACTGTGCACCGTTCAATGTTAGTGGGAATTTCGGTCTTTCTATCTTTCTATTTTAGGTTAATGGGATTAAAATACTTTGCTCTACCAGCGGGCTGCATCTTGATGAATGGCAGCGGACAGGAACAAAGACTTGTTGCTGAGAAAGTGAGACGTGCAGAAGTGTTACGACTTTGTAAGTACGCGCAGCTTTCTGGGAGGCAAGATGGAAATATACAGGGAGGTATGTGTAAAAACACAAGTGAGCTGATCCCACGCCCTCCATGTAGATCGGACGTACTCCCTCTGTAAACTAATATAAGAGCATTTAGATTACTAAAGTAGTAATCTAAACACTCTTATATTAGTTTACGGAGGGAGTACCATGCAAGCTCGGAGCATGGTATCATGCCATGCACCGTATCACAGGATATTTTCCCTCCATACATATGCACGCAAGCAAGTTGGTGCCATGGCATTCATGGTGGCTGGCGAGGAGAGACAAGTGCACGTCGTGAAGTTACTGCCCGATCGCAGCTCAGCTCTCCGCTGCCTGCGTCGTATTTACAAGCTCGCGCAGACTGACACTGTTGTCGCCAAAGCTGCATCGCCATTCAATATTACGGCAGAGGATTCATTTCATTTGAAGAAATATCTACTCATCGATGAACTTGGCCGAGCAAAACATACTCAAATTAGGGAGCGCCTATTTATCACGTGCCTGAAAACGAGGAACCACTTGTTGCATTGCTCCAAGTATTTCACAAAAAACTATAACTTTTCATCCAACCTACCGGAAAACTACCACTCTATAAAAACTAGTAGAATGACCGTGCGTTGTCACGGGCTTTTGAAATATATATTGTTGGAGTTTTATAAATACAGCGCATGTTAAATTTCACATATACTCCCTTATATTTCACATGTACTATAAGTTACGTCTATATACATTCATATGTAGTCCATATTAAAATCTCTAAAAAGACATTTAGAAATGGAGGGAATAGAAAATAGGCACAATCGGGTAATAATTGAAGTTCACTTAACTTGCAATGTAAATTGATAATAAAAAAGGCAATTTGATGATGTATAACATATAGGGTGATTATTCAACTAAAAATCTGTTACAAATTAAGATCTACTTGATGCTCTTAAGAAATTCTCACACTATATCAGGAGTGTTGTTCTTAGCTTCATTCGCATGATATTTTAGCAAGTGTAATAAAAAACATCTGCCGCAACTCATACCCATCAGATCACAGCACGTAACACACGGAGATATGATATTTGATGAATATTTAATGGACGCAACAATGAAGAAAATATAATGAACAAAGATAAAATTATAGAGCAAGCCTAGCGAATCAAGTTCCGCCGGGCACATAACACGACTTAAGCTTATTGTTACTATTCTAGTTTCCAATAAATGCCAACTTTTAAATATCAAATGATCGAGAAATGAAAGTTCGAAAATTAATTTATCCTTGTAGTTGCATGTCACTATGCGGTAACCATTGGGAAATAAATAACATGACTAATTTACTAAAACTATCAAAATTTAATTTGTATAGTGTAAAATATATTGATAAGATCATAAAAACAACCAAATTGGACCATTGTCAAACAGCAACAACCCACCGCCGAGAGCAAACACAAAAATATATGAACAAGATATAGCTAATATGGGATATTGACCTCATGCCTCCCCCATAGTACAGCCATGAAATGGATATGCACGTCCATGTATTCCTAATACTACATTTCTACTATACCTAGAGTCATCATTCAAAACACAACAACACAAACTAAGAGCAGTTGTACTTCTGTTGGATGTTTTGTTGAACATTCCGCATGGAAGTCGAAGTAGAAGATTGAAGGTGACTGAGCCTGCAGGTTGAAGAAAACATCTAAACCTAAACCTAAACCTGAACATAAGAAACAAAATAAGGACAATTTATAAGAAACAAAAAAGTGATGAAGCACACACCTACAATCCCGCACATAAGGTAAGACGCAATTACACCATGATTTACTCACAAAATGGAACTAAGAAAGCACACCAATCAGGTAAATGAGGCATCATCCCCCGTTCAAGTCTCTGATGTCATTTAGGCCCAACAATAATAATGTAGACCTTCACATCAAAGCATCATGCACTCAAAAATATTAAGTAGATCAATCTATTGTATTATTAGCATACAAAATCACTCAACTAAATGAAAGTGTGAGAAACATCCTACAGGATTGGACCTAAAAGAACTAATACACCAACAAACATAAGCATTCGATAATTACCTATTCTTCTTATTTATTTATAGGATTTTCATACTATACCAGGGTTGGGGGCGGCGAAGAAGTAGATATTGAGGAGGCATCATCAATCTGTATTGTGAACAGTAGGTCGCTGCTCGATCATCTTAGTGTGAGGGGCCACACCATGCATATACCATTGTAGGATACTACAAAAAGGATAAAATTTCATTTAACGTAAGTGCATAACAATAGTAAGTCGTTCAAGGGAAATCATATCAAGTAAAGGAATTAATGTTGCCCTTATTCATAAAGGAATGCCTACTCATTTTGAAAATAGTATGCATACTCATTGTCCAAGGGCGGACCATGAGAAATAGTCTATCTATGAAATCAAACACTCACCGAAAAACATTAAGATTCTTGACTTCCTCCTTTGATAATAAGATCAATTTGTAGCAAGTCTTAAACCAAACAAGATGTGAAGCAACAAGTGATATACCTGATTGTCTTCCGCTTCATGTTGTGTCTTTTCTTCTTTTCACTTCTCTCTCAGTAGCAACCACCGTGATACCTATTTGCTTGTGTTCCCCTCCATGTTGTAAGTGCTCAACAAACAATATTGTCGTCTTCCTAAATCTTCATCCATCTATGCTTTTCACGGCATTATTGTGTTCTCCATCCCCCCATAACACATCAATGTCATATTCAACTCCGATTATCATCTCTCGTGGTTCACTGTCGCCTTTCATAATAAACAATAGTGCAATAAATATCTCACATATTATTATGAATAACAAATGGGAATTTACCCATTCCTCCCGGTAGACCAGTCTCTCTGGTTATCTAAAACCAGCCACAAAGGAAACCAGTTTGTAATCCAAGAAATGCCGAAACAACCTAAAAAGCATAAGCACAGTAGTATAAGTTAGAAGGTGGAACTAAGCAGAACAAAATGCATTGTATAGACCAAATACAGCTTTCAATCACATTCGAAAGATAAACCCAGACGAGAAATATCGTTATAGTTGGTTCCCCTATACGAGGAATCACATCGCACCACTCAAGTTTATTTCCTTGTCACACTTGTCACATTAGGGTTGTCTTAAGTTTGATTTAATCACCTCTCTTGTGGACCAAGAAAATTACACCTACAACTGAATCAAAGCATGCTCAACAAGTAACTGCCAAATATAGATCAGATATATGAAACTGCTATAACATAACATAGTGATTCATAAGAGATGTGCACCTAGGCAAGGCATTGTGATAGATTCAGCGCACGGGGTCTTCCGTCTAGCTAGAAGGCTGTGTTGCGCTTAGCCCACAACGTCTTCCTCTCCTCAAGTGGTGTGCTCTGCCTACGTGCTCTTCGGCATGCATTCATCTCTTGCCTCAGCTCGGCTGACTTATTTTTATTGGCTCCCCTTCTGTTGGCATTCATCTCGTTCCTCTCCTTGGCTGTAAGATTTTTCCTAACTTCCCTT